TTTGGTCCCTGTGGTTTGACCAATCCTCACGAATCATCCAAAACGTTACATACAATACTGGATTGATGTTTTCTATATTGTTATCTGTGTTTGTTGATTATCTTTAAATTTTAAAATTTAGGTTGATGATGAAATAGAGGAAAATGAGTGGATTTTTAAATAATTAAGAATTGTTTTTTTTTTTTAATGATACCAAATTGAGACATTTAAAATTATAAGAATCAAACCGAAACTAAATAATCTAAAATTATAAAGACGGAATTGAACTAAAACTATATAAATTAAATATACAATACAAGAAAAATGATGAGAACTGTATATAGTGGATCTTTCAAAAGTATACATGAAGTAAAACTATATAAATTAAATGTCAAAATCTAAAGATTAGAATATGACTTAAATCTAATCATAAAAAATAAACCTAGTTTCAAATAGACGATGAGATAATTTGTCCATTTAAATCGTGACAAGTTTAATAATCTATCTGGCACATAAAAGTATTATATTTTTTGTTGATACTTTTAAAATATATTATATATTTTTCGACATTATTTATAGAAGTTACATTAGTGTTTTGTATTAAATAGTATTTGATCTTTATACTTGGGAGTTTGGTTCATTTTGATTTATGTAGCTTTAAAAAATGACCATTTTATTATACATTTATAAAATTTTAACATAAATGTTACACACAATATAAACATTTTAATACAAACTTGTGACTACATTTCAAAAAAAAAAAAAATAGAGAGTGAACTATAGCGCTAAAATTTTAATCGAAATAAATGAGATAAAAATAAAAATTAAGGGACCAAAATTGTCATTTTTAAAAATAGAACAAGACCAATGTTTCAAAAATATATAGACTAAAATAAATAAAAGTACAAAAACTAAAATAGACATAACAACCAGGTCAAAAATATAATAACTAAAATATTATTTAAAGAAAACACATTTTTATGATTCTAACGTGCATAGCACGAAATTTGTACCAAAAATCCAATATAACCGTTTCTTTTAATTGTGAGTATTTATTTCTTTTCCTATGCACCTACACCCAAAAATGTCCTTTTCCTATCAAATTTAAATTTATTTGAAAATCCAACACAACTTTCTAATATACCTTCGACGCATTTGTTTATATAGACATCTATTGATATGATAAATGTCAATTAACATTGAGCTATATTTATATTGGGTTAAAAAATTAGGTTAGACGTCACTTTTAGTTCCCGTACTTTTAAATTTGTAATGATTTAGTTCATGAACTTTTGTATATAATAATTTATTCTTGTAGTTTAAAATTTAAGACAATTTAGTCTCTACTGTAAAAAATCTCATCAAAATTAAGTGTCGATTTTTATATATATAAATGGATAAAATGACGAGAGACCAAACGTGTTTATAGATTACAAAACCTAAATTGTTACATGACAAAAAAAATTCATACTCTTGATGAGATTTTTCACGATCAGGACTACATTGTTACAAATTTTATACTACGAAAACTAAATCTATTACATATTAGAGTTCATGATCTAAATTGTTATCAATTTGAAAGTACAAATACTAAATCATTACAAACTAAAGTTCAATAATTAAATTATTACTTCAACGGGAGTACAGACACCAAAAACGGTTTCTAACATGAATTTAACTAAACTGATTAAGATACATATCTCTAACTCAAAGGTAGTAAACTGAAACTCCAACTCCATGTTACTCTACTAAACAAAAATGATTTTCAACCCAAACTTTTTACATTTTAGGGAGTAAAATATAATGGATGAGATTTCAATTATTAGGACTAAAATAAGATTAAGAATATATTTATTTATTTAAATTTTGGGTATTTCTAAATTCAAAAATTCACCATTAGAAAATAATTTAGAGATGTAGAGGGAGAAATAAGAAATATCCTAATCTTTCTAATTTCTAAGTCAAAAAGTCAACTGGATGAATTTAAGTCAGCAAATGACTACTGGGCTTTTATGGGCATGGGCCCTGTCTTTTCTGGACCTCATTAACCCTATCAACCAAAATAAAGATAAAAAATAAAAAGGAAAGTAAAAAGAAGTTGTGGGTCCCACTTTAAGCTTCTGGAAGGACTCCCACATGGAATCCTTTTGCAAAATGCTATTAATAGGTAGTCTTAATTTGACTGTAAATGTTTTGAGGTTTTTTTTTTTTCATTTTACTTTCGATCTTTTAATTGGTTAGAATTAAAAAAATTATTAGCATTTACTAATAGGTCCAATACAATTCGTACCTTTAAAATGTTATTAAGAGAAATATTGACAACATAACCGCCTATCAAAACGGTCATAACAGTCTTGTTTCTCACCACTCACCTGTAGAAGAGAACCCGCTCCTTCGTATCAATTACGCAATTCTATCTAACGCTAATCTACTTAGTTCGAATTCAAATTGACTTTCAGCTTTTGAGCGTTCATTCGTTTTTTCCAGGTCTTTCTTTGATCTTGTTCGAGTGAATACTTAATTGATTACTCTGACACAATTTAGTATCAACATGTGTCTTGACCAGTTGAACTATGCTTAGATTGACAACAAATACTCTTAATATATGTTCTTTCAGTTTTGCTCGTAAGTGTTTTAATTTTATCCTTTTTTTTTAGTAATTTTATGTATTTCATCAAAACAAATTTAATAAGTTACAGATATAATTTATTTTCTTTAGAATATTAAATCACATATAAGAAAGATTTAAATCCTACGACCTCTTAAAAAAATAGATAAAAATTGAAACTGTTATCTACATACCATAAATATAAATATAATTTTGTTCCAAATATACCTCATCTTTTTTTTTAATTGTATTTTATGTTACCTCTGTAATTATTTTCTATATAATTATATAAATGCCTCATAAAAATAATTTAACTATTTAAAATAAAGGTTAAATTACAAATGTTACCCAAAACTTCCAAAATTATGTTTAAGAAAGGTAATTGAAGTTTGAAAAGTGTCCAAATAAGTGTTTTAATTTTTAATATTATGTCTAATAAATTATTGAACTTTCAATTTCGTGTCTAATGGATCACTGTCAATTTCATCATTTTAAAAATTTCATGGAACTATCACACACAAAATTTAATTTGTTAACACAGATGATGATCTCTTTCTTCCTCGTGGCTGGACTAGGCTGGCTTGGAAGCAAGCAAACTTATCCATCTTTAATTTAATTTTGAATGTTACATTGTAATGGGTCCATAAATTTTAGAAAATTAAAGTTGATAATTTATTTGATATTCTTAAACTTCAAATACCTATTAAACACAAAGTTGAAAGTTTGAGACTTATTATTAAACCTAACCTTAAAATTGTAGGGACTAAACTTGTAATTTAATATAAAATATATGCTAAATTACAGAAATGTCCCTAGACAATTAACATGGAAGCTTACCTAAAATTAAGTTTGAATTAGAGGGAATGTGGGAGAAACTATTGCTTTTAAAAGCGAGATTAGAGTAAAATGGAGTACAATTTGGCTTTTTCCCTTCTTAAAAATAAAAAATCCATCCACATTTTCTTTTTTTCAATTCACATCGTACATCTCCATGCTGTAAAACTAATATTACAATATCTAAAGGATTCTATTGGCCTTAACGAGACCATCACTTCAAGACTCTTAACCATCTTCTTTGTCTCTCTAACAACTATTCATCTGCAAAGATGTCGTCCAAATAGAGAAGCTAGCCCTCAAGCTTTTAATTGACAGGGTTGGGTTGGCCCGATCGTTCCCTGTTATAATTCTCCAATATCAACTAGACTAGTTGTTTCGATAGTAGATAATCCACTTCTAGCTTCCGTATATTTTTCGAAAAAGAACTATGACATAAATTTTAGAAAAACAACCCACTGTTTTCAAATCTAATATCGAAGAAGTAGAAAATTATTCGTTCGAAATATTAATATCATTTTCGTAAATACTAGTTTAAAAACGTTTATGAAAAATTAAAAAAATTAGTATTACCACTCTTGAAAAGATAGGAAGGATTTAGAGCGTAGCCTAAAATATATTATGTAAATGTAGTCTGTAGTGTGTAGTAAAGTGTAAACCTTAACTCCTCTCAATTTCTCATTCATTTATTGACTCAAGTGGACCCCACTTTTACTTGGTTTGTCCCGTGGACCCCACCTCCCACCTCCTCTATAGGACAAACAAGCCTAAATTCTCTCTCTATCTCTAAAAAAAATTCTTACGAGAAAAAAAAAAGAAGAAAAGAAAAATCACAAAAG